CCCCAAAACCCCAAAACCCCAAAACCCCTAGAATCGCTAGCAGCTAGAAATTAGCAAGTTAACTAATTAAAATCAATAAATTACAAATATATAGGGTGTTGGTGATTATATATAAATTTACATGCAATTTGATCAGTTTATCTCCATATTCTCATTAAGATCGAGGGTGCTGTAGTTATTCAAGTTTATGCTATTAGCATTTTCATTAATGAATCCTTCTTGATTATAATTAAACCATTAGTCGAAAGCTCTGTTTTAAATAAGAGGAGGTAATAGTGCTCTGATGTTAATGAGTTGCATATATTGCTCATATTTATTGTTGACTGCGTCGAACCTAGAGAAGTGGGGATTGTGTCTACCTTCAGACCAACTCATAATAATGAAGCTCACACACTATTGCTATCGTTCAAGACTTGCCCAGCCTCTAGTCAGTTATCTGAATCTCGCTAATCTATCCTCATCAATATCCTATAAAAAATATTAATTAATCAAGTTAACTTACACTAAAGGGGATGTCTATGGCTTGCATCGAAATAAATATGTAACACTAGGCCAACATACTGGACTCGTACTAGTGTTAGTTAACAGCTAAGAGCATCAGATCAGCTAGGTACTCTGACAAGATTGTCACTCGACGATCTAGATTCAAGATTTAGCCGTAGAGTTTCAAGAATGAGATGGAAGTGGGAGAGTACAATTCGAAGTTTAACAAATTTAGAATTTCTTTTTCCATTGCTATCACTTCAACCGCTTTATATTCATCAGCTGTAATGTAAGCATACTCAGTAGCATTTTCCTAACGATAGTACTCTTTAGATCTTTCGTTAAAGACATCAGCTATTTTCATGCATGATACCCCGACTAACTGCAGTTACTTCTTTTCAACTACCATTCTAGATAATGTACGGTCAATGTAGTTAACAGCAAAATGTAGTGTCTCACTCATTACTTCAAAATGAACACTCACATCTACAAGCCAGTCTACAAGTATTGACCTCATATTATCAGTGATGTGCTTCTGCTTCGCCATTAGATTGCCATTTGGCATGAGCTTAATCTCATTGAGATGCATTATTTTGGCAATGTGAGGGAAATGATCTAGTGGAATGTTTCCTTCATAGTTGCCAATACAGGGCTGGATTGAATAATCAAATCTCTTTGTGTCCTAGGACTGTCTAATAGAGTCGAAAAATTAATGTTATAAGGCAAGTTCTGCAGAGATCCTCTGGCTAGGATTTATCTCGAGCAACCTGTAAAGCAAGTCAAGACCTGAGTGGCCTAATCTCTCTTTGAGATCAAACAGCTTCATCAAGCTGCTCTCTCTTGCAGGGATATAAGCTTAAACTATTTGTTTCATTTAGTCTGAGTCTTTGTTGAAGCAAACATTTCCAAAATATACTCTATCCCATTAGGGAAGATTTATGATATCATTTTCGTTTCCAAGTCTAATCATCTCAACTAATTCTTGTGATGGTGAACCAGTCAACTTAAATATCTTGAAAAGCTATTCTATCTCTGACTCCCCATTAAATAGGGCTTCTCCGAGAGATAATTCCGCCAATAGACAGCCAACTGCCCACATATCAACCTCAAAGGAGTACATCTATTTTCTAAATAATAGTTCAGGCGGCCTATACCACAGTCTTCTAGCTTCTCTGCCAGATCTCTCTCTTTCCTTCGGGTCTTCAGGAGTATAAGGGAAGTGTGGGATATTTGCTATTCTACTTAGTGATAAATCTACCAACTTTACAATCTCATCTTTAGATATCATAATGTTGTCTGGTTTCAAATTTCTATGCATAATTCCGTGTCTATGGCAGTAGCAGAGTGCTTGAATGATCTGATAGATGATGCTTTTGACTTTTTCAACGGGGAGGATATTTAGTTATCTGTCAGATTTTGGTCTTTGATAGTTTTAGAATGGCAATTAAGAATTTTTCCTAACATATTCCTTAAGATTATTATCGTGATACTCGTACACTATCTGAGCAAGCTCATTTTTAACCTCAGCATGTCTAATCTTGCCAATGTTTTGATGATCTAGGGTCTTGAGATGAGAGATTTCTCTTAGGACGCTTGTAGGAATGCCATCATCCTAGCCTGCATTTGTTACATCCAAGAAAATTTTCCTTAACAAGCAAGTTTCGTTGGTTACTCTATCAAATACCTTATACAATTTACCTTTGGACCTTCTCTCTACTATGCATTGTACAATTTGAAGTCTCTCATTGATAGTGAGATGCCTCTGTTTGTCTAGTAGCTACCACAGTTTGGAGTCTTTGACATACTTTCTCCACTGATTGGAGAGATTTTTAATGATCAGTACAATTTCTTTTGGACTCAAATAAAAAGTGATCATCAGCTATAACTCATAAGGTAATTGCCCTAGTTTATCTGCATTATAGGCTTTTTTAAGTGAGCTTTACTTATTTTGCAGGCAACTCCCAACTTTATTGTCTGAGAGCATGTTTGGATCTATGTTTTCTTAGTTAGCGTTCATCATGAGATTTCCGTCTTCATTTTAGCTAAGAGGCATAAAAGAAAATTTCTTATTGAAAGTCTTCTTTTAGTTCACATTTTATTTTAAATACTAGTAGCCATTGCTGGATTGTGTGGATGGATGGCTTTGCAATGGAGCTAGGACAGAGGACTCTTGCATGACAACGTCTGACTGCTGATTGCTGTGAAGAGCCGAAATCTGAGAGGCAGACTAAAGAATGGGATCAAGCTTTGGGGGAGAAAAACTCATTATTTTTAGAGTTTATTCAAATTTAAATTATGAATTAATCAAAATTAAATACGTTGTTAATATTCTCCCAAGCAATTATACTCTCCTCTTAATTCTGAAGACCTCTCCTATTATAGCTACTGGGGTTTTGGGGTTTTGGGGTTTTGGGG